CTTAGAGCCCACTTTGACTCCAGTAGCACAGCCCCGACTTAGACTAGGCAGCACCTTGAATTCTAAACCAGCGTATGCATACCCTGCAGCAAGTCAAAGTATATGGCTGACTGTCGATCTTTCTCGTGCCACAGTTCCCCTAGCGATGGAACTGCCCGCCTGAGACCAGAAAGACTGGGTGGCAGGTTTCAGATGCGGTTCGTCGGAGGTGCACGGGACCCATGCCTGTTCCTACCTCTCCCGTTGCTCTTGCAACGATTTGATGGCGTCCCCATGTCCCGCATGCTCGAGCTCTTGCTAAGTCGGGCAGGGTGCGGGGGGAGAGCATGAGCAGTTGCGAAGTACCTCTCTTCGCACTTTTTTACCATCCAGAGAGCGCCCAGTGGCAAGGGGGAGGGAACGACGACGAAGGACGACACGACGGGGCCGAGTATGATGGTTGGTGGTGCTAGCTCCTCCTCCACTCCCGCTCCCCCATTGCTGTTCCTTCCCCGACGTGTCCTCTCCGCACGAGGCTGCCCGCCAAAGGTCTCGCGGGGAGGCTGGGCTTTTGGGGTACGTGGAAGGGTCCAACTGCAGTCAGGTCGGGCATGTCCTCCTACAGACGGATTGTGGAAGAAAAATAAGAAAACTGCAGAACCATAGCCCAAAATAGTCCAAAGAGCACGACGATTCGTCGCCAGACCCTTTTGCTACTATTCTCGAATATTTCTCCTGGAGAGGGACATGCCCGACTTAAAACTACAAGAAGATGACAAATAATCACTCGGCACCGATGCGTACGACGCCCCGAAGGCGAGGCGCACCGCAAGGCCAAGCGCGCCTGGGAAGCGTGAGCTTTCTGCGCACATGCGAGCCTGTCGTGTGTTGCCGATGGTGTATGTGTTACGATGCGTCTGTTTTCGATTGAGGTCTCCTGCGCATGAGTGTTATCTGACCTTCGTTCACCTGTGTCCGAGAAGGAGGAGGAGGACAGGAGTGGGGGAGAGGAGGAGAGACGAGGACCAGGAGGAGGACCATAGAAAACTCAGGATGGCATCGACGATGCTGCAGTCCACCCTCCCGTCCCGCAGCCCCCCCTGACGCATTCCCTCGGAGCATCCCTTGGAACTGCAGAACGCGACCAACCCACCAAGCACGAGCACAAAGTGCGCAAGCCGTTCAGGCGAGAGCCCCGTTCTGAAAACGAACCGCCCTATCCCCCCAAAACGCTAGGGTCAGACAGTCGGACTTGATTGGAGAGGAAAGGCGAGAGGACACAAGACCCTTCCGAGGGCCACGTTGCCGCAGAACTGCAGGAGGCATGGGCCGCGAGACGCAGGACACGAGGGTACCCTCGATTTGGCAGTGTCGACCTACCAATCCGGGCCGACTGTAATCTTCATCAGGCTGAGCGAGCCTCAGCCCGCAGGCTCCAGCGAAGTCAAAAATGCTTTGGGGACGCGAGAAGTAAAGGGAAATTAGGACACACAAATAAATACACACAAATAAAAATAGTCCCCATATTTTCCTATATTTTCTGGGTTTTTGTCTTCCCCCCAATTCCCATATTTTCCTATATTTTCTGGGAATCGCCGATTAATTGTGTCTGTGTGTTTTTTCCCCTCCTGATTCGGGGACGCGATAAGGTAGGATCGTGGAGTGCAGCAAGACGCTCAACGAGAGCCCAGGTTGGAGAAGGAGCCGCCCCCCATCCACGTAGCTGCTGCACAGGTTTGCACTTCTGGTCATCAGGTCCTGTAAGGTCTGAAGCGCGACCCAAATTTTGGAAACGGAGCCGCCCTCCGCCAGTGTAGCTGCCACATATGTTCAACCTCCTGGTGCTTACAATCGAATAAGTCATGAGCGAGAGCCCCATTTTGAAAAAGGTGCCCGGCGTTAATCACCCCATTTTGAAAACCAATCGGCATGCATCCTCGCAGATGTTGCAAGCTTAAGAACGGGTGTGCGATCCTCTAAATCGAGAGCCCCATTTTGAAGACGACAGGCCCTCCACCCATACAGCAGCGCAAATGCTCAAAACCGAGTGTGCGCGGCGAGATGGCGAGAGCCCCATTTTGAAGACGACCAGCCCTCCATCCTGAGTAGCCGCTGCAAGCTTCGACAACCAGTGCGCGCAGCGCCAGGGCGAGAGCCTCATTTTGAAAACGACCGGCCCTCCATCCTATGAGCATGGCGACCGTGTCACACGAGTTTGCGCGCCGCTGGGGTTCGAGCCCCACTTTGAAATCCACCCGCTCTCCATCTTGTATCTGCTTCACTCCCAAAAGGCTCGAAGCAATCTAAAGCGAGATGCCTGGCCTGGCCTACTGACATGTCTGGTGGTGCGCGAAAACGATGGGAAAGCGCAGTACCCCTTCCCCGTGCGTCACCTAACTCCGCAGATCGCGACCCGCGATGCGCGGGTATCTTCGCCACGATCCTCGCTCCCTGCTGGCGACCTCCCTTCCCAGGAGACCCTGGTTCCTCATGACCTGTCTCTACGGTCTCCAGAACCCCCCTGGAGACCTTGTTTCCTCATGGGTGACAATGAGACAAGCACGTGCCACCACTCGCAAAGCAATTACTCGCAAATAGACTGGACCCGCCGCGGGGAATCTACGATAAATCACATAGAGTCGAACATATGTTTCGTGGATGTTTGCGAGTAGGCACTTTGCGAGTAGTGGAACACGCTCGGTGAACAATGACAGAAGGCCCCCCCCCCTCCCCTCGTGACCCCTCTCATCCCCTCTCCACGGCCTCCAGGTGCCCCCCGAGGCCCCCCCGGAAGGCCTCCGGAGGTCCCGCCTGGAGGCCCCCTGGGAGGCCCAAGAGGGCGCATAACCTTCCGAGCGCCTCGGATCATCTCGGTCCTCGATCCTCCTCCTCCTCCTCCTCCTCCTCCTCCTCCTCCCTCCTCGTCCTCCTCCTCTCCTCCTCCTCCTCCTCCTCCTCCTCCTCCTCCTCCTCCTCCTCCTCCCCCCCCTCCTCCTCCTCACTCCTCCTCCTCCTCCTCCTCATCATCATCATCATCATCATCCTCCTCCTTGCGGCGCCGTCTCCTCGTCGAGCATGAGCGGCGGCATGCTGTCTCGCCGCGCGCGCCCGCGCCCGCGCCGGCAGTCGCAGGTGGGCTGCCGGAGCGGGGGGGGGGCCGAGCGCTGGGGGCGGCCCGCGGGGCGCTCGAGGCTGGCGCCCAGGGCGGGAGGCCGCGGCCAGTGCACCTGCGCCGAGGTCCTGGGCCCAGGATGGGCCTGGCCTCCTTCCTCCTCCTCCTCCTCCTCCTCCTCCTCCTCCTCCTCCTCCTCCTCCTCCTCCTCCTCCTCCTCCTCCTCCTCCTCCTCCTCCTCCCCCCCCTCCCCCCGGGCCAGATCGTGTCCGCAGCCCCCGACAGCCGAGGCCCCCGGAAGGCTCGATCCCCGAGGGCCGGGGGTCGTGGATAACTAAATCTGGCCGTCGCTCGGACGTCCAGTCCCCGTGCATGCTTCGATGTCGTGCGTGCATTTTCCGCCCGATGATCACAGATGCTCCTCGATGGTCCTCGCCGAGGAAAACATGCGCACGTCCGAGCGATGCCAAGTGGCATTCAGTTGGGCAAGTCCCGCTATAGGAGGACTAGTCGAGAGTGGTAAAAAAAGTCTGGGGATGAGTATTATCCTTGTTTTGTCTATGTGTGGGAGTGTGTGGACTATGCTTAACTTGTCTTCCAAGATGCGCCTGTAGGAGGACATGCCCGACCTAAGCCTGGCCGGCAGGGATGGACCTAAGCAGTGCTTCTCGTGGTCGCTCTGTTTCCGTCTCTTCTCCCGTTTTGTCTCCCGTCCGCCCTCTTGCCGCAGAGCCAGGTCGCAAGGAAAATGGCCCCCGAAATCGCCGAGACGCCTTTTCGGTCGACCCCCGCTGGCCAGGGCCGGCGCACCTGCATCCTCGGCGCTGCCCCGAGAGGAGGGGCGCAGGAGGCAGGATCGAGGATCGAGGCAGGGATCGAGGATCGAGGGGCAGGCTCGAGGCTCATCGGGCCAGGATCGAGGATCGAGGGGCAGGAGGCAGGATCGAGGATCGAGGGCAGGATCGAGGGTCGAGGAGGGGCGCAGGAGGCAGGCTCGAGGATCGAGGGGCAGGAGGAGCAGCATCGGGGTATAGTCCGTCATCGTGGATCACATCCTGTCTCATGTGCATTGTGTTTGGGGCCTTCAGATATCTTCCGCGGAGGCCACCAGGGACCCCTGGACACCTCCCGAGATTTACCAGCCTCGAACGTATCCCTATCCCTAAGATTGACACGCCAAAAGGCGATGACAATCTTAGGGATTCGCCCTCAAAAAAGAAGGAAATCCCCAAGACTGGCGTCGTGATGAGGAGGTGCCCAGCATAGGGATAGGGAGATGCTCCAGGCTGGTAAGAGATCTCTCAAAGAGGGGGAGGAGGGAGTCTTCGCCATGTGGGCCCCACCGTTGTTGACCTCAAATGCGCCTCGTCGAGAGCCTGCTGGGGAACCCCGGTATCCTCCCGGACGGCCGCCCGACGTCCGACGTGTGGGCACGGAGGGGGGGACAACCACTTGCATGCGAACTCGTCCTACCTCCTCCTCCTCCTCCCCCTCCTCCTCCTCCTCCTCCTCCTCCGCCTCCTCCTCCTCCTCCTCTTCCTCCTCCTCCTCCTCCTCCCGTGAGGACTCTTGAGGACTTCTCCTCCTCCTCCTCTCTCCTCCTCCTCCTCTCCTCCTCCTCCTCCTCCTCCCCTCCCCTCCTCCTCCTCTCCTCCGCCTCCTCCTCCTCCTCCTCTTCCTCCTCCTCCTCCTCCTCTTCCTCCTCCTTCTCCTCCTCCTCCTCTTCCTCCTCCTCCTCCTCCTCCCGTGAGGACTCTTGAGGACTTCCACTGCACCCCAACAGAAACCACCAGAATTCTCCAAGAAGCCCAAACACCTCCTCTGTCCTCTTCCTTGCCCCCACCTCGTAGTCCTCCTGCTCATCGTGCTCTTCAGTCTCATTCTCGCCCTCTCTGCACGGATGCCCTGCCTGACGCCCTGCGTCATGAGCAAGAAGCCCACGTCTTTGGTCGGCGGCAGGTTCAGCACGATCGCGTCTGACGCAGTGTTCACATGCCAAGGGTGCAGGAAAGAGTTTGCAGATTCCTTGCAATATCTAACTGCGTCCCTGTTGCTCGCCCCCCCTAGTTCCCATCACAATCACACTCATCGCAACACCTTCACAGACTCTCTCTCTCTCTATCTCCCTCTCTCTCCCTCCCTCTCCTTCTCTCTCGCTCTCTCTTGTCTCTCGCTTTCTCGTTTTTGTTATTTCTCTCTCTCTCTCTGTATATATAGATGTAAGTTTACATACTCGTGTATGTATGTATATATACATATATACAATCATACAATCATACAAGCATGCAAACATACAAACATACAAACGTACAAGCATTCAAACATACATGCATACATGCATGCATGCTTGCATGCATACATGCATACATAAATACATACATATATACATACATGTATATGAGTGTGTGTGTGTCCAGCCTCCCCTGCACGTCGCCTCCTTTTACGCGTTCCTTCACCTCGATTGCTCGTTTCGTATGTCGTTTCCCACTGCGCTTCCTTCACCTCCGTTCAAGCTCCACCAGCGTGTTTCCACCTGGCCCTGGTATCGCGAACGTAACTCGGAGTAGTTCAGCAAAGCGCTCCCAGTCAAACACGCAATGAACTCTGCCATGATGAAGAGCACACCCCTGAAATTACCAGGGACTTTCAAACGGTGACTACAGACTCGAAGAAGCCAGCATGGCATGATCTGCAGACTGTGTCACCTTTCATAGCGAAAGACCATCGGTGCTATGCTGAGCTTCACAACCCCATACCAAATAGCCGAGATACCTGGTTTACAGACTGTCGGTTGGGGCTGCCACGCTGCTGGGATGAAACGTACCTCGCTTATACGTTGCGTTGCGATGCTATGCTAGATCGCCAGTGAAGCTTGCACAGCTGTGTCAGAGTACTATTGCCCAGCAACGCTTGCCCTTTGCCTTGCGGCCTCTATCCAGCCAGACCGGCTCCCCAAACGTTTCGTATTGGAGGTGTTCACAAGCCTGCGCTTGACGGGTGATCTCAGGGCACCTCTTCCCTTCTGTCTGCGAGCAGCGGAGATGATCAACACGCTGGTGGGCTAAAGCCAGGTCGCGCCGAAAACAGATGTGCCCAATACGATGGAGCGAAGCAGAGGAGAGTAGCCAAGAGAACGCCCCTCACATGTTGCCTCTCGCTCTACATCGGATCCTTGTCCTTCTCCTTCCATCCCTGTTCTTTGTCGCACCGACAGGCGTGTCCGTAGGCCATACAAGGCGTTCCGCTTGAGTTTTCTTCACGTGCTGCAAATCCTCAAGCTGAAATGCCCAAATACTTACAATAATGCCATGCCCCTCGTTTCCAAACTATGTTCTCGCCTTGACGCAGCGCAAATTCGTCTAAAAGTTCACAGAAGCTACGAGGATAGAGGCCGACTTACTTTCAACACGCGGCTTTCGCCTGAGACTTTCTTAAACTGTTGGGCCCGAAGTTCCAAAGTGATTGTCTGGGGGCCGCACGGATGTGCAATAGCTATACGGATGGAGGCCAGCTCCTTTTCAAAATTTTGTTTTCGTCTGAGTATACCGCTCCTACTCCGACCAATATTTCGAAAATGTTCAATCGGGCAGGTCGCAGATCATGTTCGAACCTAGGCCATCGCTGGACAGTCCTTTGAACTCTATCATGCTACCACCTTGCATGTCTTTCAGCTGGAATTGGCGGCGTGCACGAGGGGGTAGGGGGAGGGGGGAAGGCTTCTTCGAAGGACGCTGCTTCTTGGCAGGCGCCGGACCGACATCTGCAGATGAAGCCCGCGCTTTCTAAGAAGCAGGGGTGCTTCTAGGAAGCCTTCCCCCCTCGCCCGGCCCCCTTCTGCGCGCCGCCAAGACAGGGGTGGAAGTGTTCATAGATATAAAGTTAATGAAACGCCCAGTCCATTTTCCGCCAGGCGTGCGAAGCGATGCTATCTCTGGTGTCGACAAGTCATCCGACTTTGCAATCACAGATCAAACAGACTCGAGCTCGAGGCACGCTTAACTTGAAAGCTGAGCGGGCACCTGATCACTTGGTTCGTTCTGCAATTTTTAAAAGGAGAGGGCGGCGGTGGGGCAGACGGTTGGCCAGGAAAAACTACGGATCGGTGTTGACGGCGTGTTTCGGTCTTCAGCATATCATTAATCAGCAAGCTTATACAAATGAAACGCCCAGTCCATTTTCCGCCAGGCGTGCGAAGCGATGCTATCTCTGGTGTCGACAAGTCATTCGACTTTGCAATCACAGATCAAACAGACTCGAGCTCGAGGCACGCTTAACTTGAAAGCTGAGCGGGCACCAACTCTTTTTGCATAGAACGACTTCTCTCCAAAAACGCCACTGGCCTCAGCCGCACCAAATTGTCTGTACTCGCTGAACTTTCTTTTCCGCAAGCGCCAGCTGGAAGCAACGGACGATGCTAGTGCACAAATCAGCTGGGTAAGCTTCGGCCAAGAGCGTGTGAAAAATGCCGTCTGCATTTTTGCCCTGCAACTGATCATGAGGGCGGCCCGTGCGGGAGCAGATCCCGCGGGGGCCACGACAGAGGCGATGTAAAGGTTGGAGGTCCACATGATCGTATATGATGCGAGTGCGCTTTCGGCACGACTGGCCGAATTGACAGAAGTCTAACACGACAGAGCGGCATTTTCTTTGCAATCTCCTAAATTGAGACGTCAGCCAAATTCTAGACATGTGAGGATTCTCGATTGCTACTGGCACGCGCACGGCTTGGCACAAAGAAAATAGCGAGGCTGAAAATTTCATGAGGGCGTTGCCGATCCTAACCTTCTCAGCGTCACGGGGCGCTAGGTCAGGCAACCCCATTGCGTGCAGGTCACTTCGCAAGGGCGGGGGCCCGGGTCGGATGTCCCGTGCCCGGCTCCAGCTGTGGCAAGGGGTGCCCAGCCAGACGGCAGCAATTAGCCCGTTGTTGACCCAGCCTCGCACCAGGCGCTGCGCCCGCTGGCGAGTGAGGTCATACTCATCTCCCCAGCGGATGTCCCACTCGAAAATAGCATAGCCCAGAGCGCGCTGCCGCCGTCGCCAGGCCCGGCTGAAGTTGCCGGAGCCACTAAACACTTCGAGCGCTACGGCCCCGCCCGCACGGGCGGCAAAGGCCGGCAGTGCTCGCAGAGGATGTCGCCATTCTTCTTGGCGCGGACGATGGCGTGGTCGAGGAACGGCGGTGGCAACTTGATCAGCTGGTTGGCGACGCGGCCCCCTTTGCCGTACCCCGTCACCGAGCTGTCGCTTGCCCAGCGGTTGCGAGCCCTCACCTCCGCGACGCTGCGGCGGTAGCTGGCCAGGTCGACGGGCGCTCCGCCATGCCGCAGCAGGTGCAGGCGCGGCGGGCTCTCGAGGCCGAGCCCCTGGTCCGCCGTGCCGAACGCCTGCGCCAGGTGTACGTACCGCACCTGCGCCACGAGGTCCCTGTCGTTGACGCCGGCCTCGAGCGGCTTCAGCACGTCCCCGATGAGGTGGCAGGACGGCAGGTCGCCCAGCACGCTCCCGGTGAAGGCGCCGTCCACGCTGGGCGTCTCCTCCTCCATCGGGAACAGCACGAGCGACCGCGCGGCGTGGCCGGCCGCCCGCACCGGCGGCGCCACTTGCTGCACGGTCAGCGACATCAGCTCCGCGGACTGCAGGCCGAACACGACACCCACGAAGACGAGGCGGGCGGCGTGCAGGTCCTGGTTTGCCGCGAGCCTGTGTGCCACCGCGCAGGCGACCTCCCCCGGCAGCGGCAGCCGGCTCCGCGGCGACCCCAGCCGCCTCCACCCCCTCAGCGCCCGGCTGAACTGGGGCAGCCCAGCCGCGGACAGGAGCCGCGGGTGGTAGTACTGCAGCAGCGCCTTGAGCCTTGTCCCCTCCAGCGCGTCGCTGCCGTCGACGACAGCGAGGTAGGTCCACTCCACGGCTGCTTCGTCGTAGTCCTGAGCGGTCTCGAGGCGCAGGCCCAGGGTCTCGGAGAAGATCCTGAACTCCACGAGCGCCGACTGGCAGATCCCCTGGTCGTGGTCGCCCGCGCTCTCCCTCTCGGGCAGCGAGAGGCCCTCGCTGACTGTCGCTCGCCTGTCCACGGGGAAATTCGCTTGCCGGGCAGCGGCGCGTTCCCCCTCGTGGCCAGCTCCTCGGGCCGAGGCTTGGCTTGTCTCGCCGCTGCCTTTGCCTGGGCCCGCCCATGGGGTGGGCGCGGTCGCGCACCAGCCTGTGACAGCGCCGCCGCTCGCCACAGGGTCGGCGGCTCGCCCTGGACGGTTCGCCGCTCCGCAGCCCCGCCCGGCCTCGCCAGGCTGTCGGTCGCCAGGACCGCATCCCACGGGGCCGACGGGATCGGGGCACCTGCGAGTGGCCGCGGGAGGCCGGTCGCCACCCGGCTCAGGCAGACCTGGCGGAGGCCGAAAGCACCCATGTTTGAGCCCAAATGGCTTCGGCTGATAGCGACGGGAAGGCTCGTCGGCCACATTCAACTCAGACCGAATCCACCGAACCCGAGGATACAGATCGGCCGCAAACACCGTCGCCGCCCACTGCCTGCACACTCTCATCAGGGCCACGCTCGAAGATCGGCCCTTCTCAAGGGCCAGGACCTCGGACAACCCGTCGGTCAGAAAAAGGACCCGCTTGCCAAACTCGCTTAAACCCCGGCTCACATGCCGGACCCCCCAGACCAGAGCGCGCCCTTCCAAGATGGGCATCGCCTCCCGACGCTTCCAGCGACCGGCCGAAACGGTGGTCCAGGATCCCTGAAGGATTTCGGGCCCGATTTCCGGGACGGCCCCGCTCCGATCCACCTCGCCGAGGGCTTCTAGGTGCCGAGCCGTCCCGACGCGATCCAGGTCGTCCAGACCGGCCGCCGCGGCCAGATTCAGCTCCTCCCGGAGCGAGGCGTCTCTCGGCCGAACGCGATCCTCGGCCCCTCGCGAGAAGCGCCACCGGTCCGACCACCGGCCAGCCTCCGCGATGGACTGAGGGCCAC